TATCTTGCTTTCTTACTCCTTTTTGTTTATTATTATTATTATTATTATTATTATTATTATTATTATTATTTGTTTGTTTACTTGTCTGCATTATTGATTTATGTTAATGATATTATTGTTGTTGTTGTTGTTTGTTTACGTGTATGCATTATTGTTTTTTCCTCCAGTTCTTGCCTCTGATTTGTCTTTGACTTTATGTTGTGTTAGTCCATAATGTAATTACTTGTATCTACCCTGTGCTCTGTCTGTAATTGGCCTTGCGGCTGTTGACTCGGTACGTAAATAACAAAGAATTTAATTGAATTATTAATATTAATAATCTCTTTGAATATCTATACTTTTCATTTCTCAGTTGTCAATAGCAACTTAGATTTATGATGTTATTTTGTTTTTTATTTGTATGCATTAATTTGTTTTCCTCCAGTGCTTACCTTTAATTAGTCTTTGACTTTATGTCGTGTTTGTCAAGTATGTAACTACTTGTCTCTACACTGTGCTGAATCTGTAATTGGCCTTGCAGCTGTTGGCTCAGCACATAAAAAATTGAATTGAATTAGTATTTTTATTTTTATTCCTAGAGCTGGATGAAACCGAGTCCCATTTGCACTTAGACGCTAAATAGATCATTGTACCAGCCTTGGATGATAGATGAAAGAAATACAGCATTTGGTGGAATGAGAATTGTTAGAGGAAACCAAAGTACTGACAGAAAACTGGCCCCAGTGCAACTTCATCTGCCATAAATTCCGAATGAACTGATCTGGTATTGAACGTGGACTGCCGCACTGTCATACCTGTTTATAAAACGTTAATTTTAATATTGTCCCATCTGTACCTAGGCACCAAAGTGTTCTCTGTCGGGTTTTCTGACCAAAATTTTGTATGTATTTAGGCTTTAATGAGTGTTGATAGTAGTCATGGTCCCCCAAATCCCACTGTAGCAAGACCAAGGTCTTTGTCGATGGATTGGTGTGTGTTTGGGGGGGGGGCTTTATTTGAAGAGATCAGTGCTAATGAATGTAGGATACAGCTTATCTTCAATGTTGCCTGATAAAATATCAACTATACAGGAGTATGTTTCAATGTAGTGAAATTTTGACATTTCAGGAAGTAATTGATATTCTGTGCTTCTTTAAAATTTCGTTTTTGATTTTACCATGTTCTGAAAATGTAATCAGAAATATTACCACAGATTTCTTAGTCTGGATCACCCCAAATGTCTGTCCCATCAGATTTGTTTGTAGATATTTATTACATTTGTAAGAGTTATGTTATTTTCTGGGGCTTTTAAAATTAAGATAATACTGTTTCTTGTAGTGTAGCAGAAACTGTTTTCCGTTATAGAATATGCTGGCAGTACTAGCAAACAGGCTGGTCCTCTACCAAGTCTTGCATTTGGTGCCATAGCAGGGTTGTTGGGGCAGTCCTCCTCTTACCCATTGGATATTGTGCGACGACGTATGCAAACCTCACCTATCTCTGGAATGCAGTATAAGACAATTTTTGGAACGCTCAAGAAGATATACAGGTATAATAAGATGTATTGTTATTTAGAGAATGGATGAATATCAACTTGCCAGGATATGTAAGGCCTTGGGAAATTATCTACAATTTGCAATTGTAGGTAACTAATTCTTAAAATTGCCTTATATTGAAAAAAAAATCATAAAAGGGGAAATCTAGTGGAGAGACATTGAGCACAGTGGAAAAAGAGCAGGAAATGACATGATTGAGTCAAAATAGTGGAGTGAGTTAGGAAAACTGGCCACACAACTATTACGAAAGAGTAAGTGGCAACTTCTGCCGTGTCCACAGATGCTCATCCTGTCGTTGGTATAAAACTATGGATAAAGTGTGTGTAGAACCAACTGATATGTCTTTCTTTATGTATAAATATTTTTTTGTTACAAGGTAAGAAAAACATTCAGTCCTTTCTTATTGTAATATTTCTTAATGTTTCAGGGATGAAGGTATTATTGGAGGTTTCTACAAAGGCCTTAGTATGAATTGGGTTAAAGGACCAGTTGCTGTTGGAATTAGCTTTGCTACCTATGAGTCAATATGTGACATACTGCGTCAGATTGTAATGTTATGTCATTAGATCATCCAGTGTTACAGAAATACAAGATTCATTTCTACTTTCAAATTTGTCTCAATGCAGAGTGTTAAAATCATGGCATTAGCAGTTGTCAGTATTTATTTTAAATGAAGTTGTGAACTGCACAATTGTAGAGCAAGGAAGCGCAGTGTGATATGAAGTGAATTACATATTTTATTACCTCTGCAAAATCTATAAATATTTCTTAAGGGTTCTGATTCTTTAACTGTAATTCAAGAAGACAGAGGAAATGTGATAAACTTTCACTGCATATTTAGTGACTCCGTAAGAATGTCATCATAGCAGGTTGAGCTAATATTCTTGTATTTGTGTGATGTACTTCCCAGCACCAGTTCCATGACTAGACAGGGATGTAATTTGTAATTTATTATGATTTACTAGTTCAGTTTTTCAAAATATGCTATGAAATATTTTTTGTCTATGGCATTGCATGTTTGGTTTCAAGGACCTGTGGTGATATAATTATGGACTGAAGTGGCCAGATTTTTTTATTTTTTACACATCTAACTCACTCACTCACTCCATTGAGCTCCCTCTTTGGCAATGTAATAGTTCGACTCAAGAAATCTTGAAAATGTCCTGTAACTCTTAAATTGATTACCATGTTCACAAGACCCAGCCACTTGTTTGTACCTGGAGCCAGATTAATGCAATACACATTTTCCAATCCTTTTTCCTTTACAAGCCATTTTAATATTATCCATCCAACTGTTCCTAGGTACTGTTTTAATGAACCTCTCCTGTAGACTCCTTACATTTCACATTCAAAATCATGTGTATGTTTTCTGCTGCTGAGATTGCTCTAAAGAATCCATCCAAGGCCATGCATAGCATTTTACAAAACCATTTTCTACGCTGAGAAGTTGTTAGCCCAATGCTCAACCCCCAAGCTACAGGACCACTCCTTACTCACTATCTATGACTCCTTATTCGATATATTCGCAGTTTTATCCCACCTTTCATTATTTGCCATATCCAGACATTCTGTTGCACCATACTATCAACAGTTATATTCTGCTGGATGAATGAGGTGTTCCAGAAATTAGTGTGGGCTAACATTTCTATGCTGTATCAAAATTTGGAGAGGTCTGTTTCATTGGGTTTTTAAAATATTCTGTGAAAATGTAAGTTACTGACACATGTTGTCTCCATGTGGTGTGTGGACAACCGTCCCCAAAATTGTACTAAATTTATATTTTAATATTCAGTATAAGGTTTCTGTCTAATGGCTTTGGGAATAAATGATTGTGGAATATCTGCAGTTAGGCTGCAAATATCTTTTTGGACTGTACAGCTAAAAGACTTACCAGTATTGTACACATGTTAGTCTTGTACTCTTTAGTTGTCAAGGTTATTCACTATCTCCAGTCTGCTGTATATGTGTAATCTTTCCATCCTTAAAAAGGTACAATATGAAGTGATATATCAGGCTATACCAAATTATGTTGTTGCATCTTAAATTAATTAATGAACAAATCTATTATACATGACTGGAAACATGCTCTTGGCATACAAACTTCCATTTAATAAAGTACTCCAAATGAAAGAATAATATACATCAACTGTTTGCCCTTTCCATTTAAAACAGTGTATGGTGCTATCTGTCCAGATGTTTCTTGATATTTGAATTTTAAATGAGAATTTAGTATGTTTCATTATGTTAGAAACGGCAGTCATTTTAATTTCTGTTCTTTGTTCTTTGGTAGGGGAGCAGAGGGTTAAAACAGTTGGAGCACTTGTTGCTTCATGCTGCCAAGGAGTCTGATATTAAAAATTAGTTAATTAGCAATATAGGATTTTTGTATACAGGATTATTCATAAGTCCATGAAACACTTTAAAAATTCACAACAAATAAACTATGCATCAGATCATGGTAATTCTTACACCAACAGAATGAATCTCTCCAAGTTTTTTTTTTAATGATTACTTCTTTCAATAAGACAGCTGTCCGGCTCACTACCACGAAGATGTGCGAGGGTATCTCAATCAAATTTTGCCACGAAGGTGGATACGATGCACAGAACAAGATGACGTGTTAATGCGGTGGCCACCCTGATCCCCAGATTTAACCCAGTGTGACTTTATTCTGGGGGTTTGTGAAGGATACTGTCTTTGTGCCTTCATTACCTGCTAATCTCAGGCATCTTCGCAACCGTATCACCGCTGCTGTGGCTTTGGTGAACCGTGATATGCTGACATGGGTGTGGGACGAAATGGATTATTGCATAGATGTTTGTCATATCAGCAAAGGTGGACACATTGAGCATCTGTGAACTATGTAAAAAAAACTTGGCGAGTTTATCTGTATTTCAATGCAATAAAATTTGGTATCCATTGCATAGTTTATTTATTGCAAGTAAGTAAAAGTAAAGGTATCCCTGTAACAGGCCGTGGAGGCCCATAGGGTTCTGAGATGTTGAGTTTCCCACATTTTCTAGACAATCGGCTTATAGATGGCGGCAAGGTTGTCATCTCTACATGCTGGCCTCCCTTTACCCCCAAGAATATTCCTGGTACTCATTTCTGTTAGAGGCTGAGTCGACTCCAGTTTCAAAATGTTTCAAGGACTTGTGAATAACCCTGTACAATTATTGTGATCAACTATGTGTTAACGAAGTAAGTGGTTTAGTGCCAAATCAGTAAAATCTGTAAACATCACTCAGAATAGATGAAAGGATTAAGCTCGAGGAACAAAACTCCATCGTGTGACTGTGTATTGACATAACATTATTTGTAATAAGGATTGCTATAATAAGGGGAAAACGTATGTAGAAAAATGTTCAGTACTCTTCACAACTGTTTGCTTCAAGATTTGGTCTGATAGAAGGGTATATAAATAGAATTACCTGCAATGTCAGATATTTAGGCCTCTTTCACTTGACTATTCTAGAGTAGTAATGTGTAAATTGTTAAGTAACTATTACCCTTGACATTGCTGGATTCACCGAAAAATAGAATTATTAAACATGAAATTCTAGGTACAGTAATAAGAATGAAGTTGCACACTGTCTGCAAAAAAATACTGAAATATCTTCTAAACGTTGTATAGTCTTGCATAAAAACTGTCACTTTCAACATGCAGTATTCTGCAGCCTGCAAGACCGAAATTAGTTGGTGTGTCAAAATTAATTTTTGTTGTGTCAGCGTTCAGCTTAATATTTTAATCGTTGCTGTGATTAGAAGGCATTAACATATAATTACAAATATAATGGAACCTTAGAAATCCAAAGATTGAGAAACAGAAAAAGGTGTAAAATAAAAATCTTGTATGAGAGTTTGCAACATTCTGAAAAGAATTGTTACTGTCACAAATAGCCATCATAGGCAGTTAAACGTTGAATACATAGAAATCGCTCTAAGGATGAGACAGCATATATCTATGATTATTCTATTATAATCACTGATATCACATAGATTCTAAACAGTTGATAACGATTTTGTAATGCTGAAAATGCATGTTAATCTTACTGGTAGTTTTGCATTTGGCACACAAATTAAAGATGTTTATGTGAATTTAAATAATATTGAGTACAGTAAACACAATATTGGGAACAAGCAGACATGTTATCTACCTTGTCTGGTGCCAATACTTATTTTCTAATTTCTCTCTAATTGAAGTTTCAATCATATTAGATTGCAGCTATGACTGACCACCTTATCAGTTCTGCCAGATGATGCATTATTTACAGGCTGTATGTCTTGTTCGTTATTAAGACTGTCCAAATATGTCTTAGTTTCAAATACTAATTGTTTAAACTTAGTCATTCTGCTTTTGTTTGCAGTCCTTCCCATGCATCCTTTCTACCATAGTCTTTCATGAATCTCATTCTTCATTAATTCTCTCTGATGTTCACCCATTAGTGACATCTGCAAAGATCTTGCTATATATGCTGACTGTACCGATACACCTTACATATTTTTTATTTCTTCCTTCTTTGCCTTTTCCATATATTCATTCATTCAACAGTAATCTGTCAGACAACAGGTCTGGTCTCTTCCAAAAGAGTTCCTCCACCTAATGCAATCTAGAGCTTTCTCCTTCAAATGAGAATATCCTCTTCTGTCCCCAAGGTCATCCAGCATCTTCTTATGTCTTCTTCCTCGTCTTCTGGTCACTTCTATCCACCCCTCTATCTTTCCTTCAATAACTTCTTTTAGAAGGCAGTTACTGCGTAATTTCCATATATATTTTATAATAATTATACTTTTGACACCAATAGAAGTTGTATTTAATAATTTAGTCCATCTGTAGCTTTTCTTAGGGAAATGCCTAGGGTTATGAGGTCATGTGCTGTGTCTCCACTTTCAGTGTTTGAGCCAATTAACTGAATTGAACATAATTTGCTATGAATGTTTTGCCCTAGGTGGCTATCGCAATCTCATACTTCTTAATTTTCTGCTTTATATTTCACCATCCTGTTACATTGAAGTATCACTTGTAATCTCCCATTTCTAATGCAGCAATATCAGTGTGGATTTAGGAGACACTAATCAACAATTAATTCACTAAAATGTTGGTTAAAATGTTTACTATACATATGTTCTGTGTTTATGCGCTGTATGTTTCAGCCACACAGGGCCTTCTTCAGGCAACACACTTTAGTAGTACCCTTAACGTACATCATTGTTATTAACTTTGATGTTATAGGGTGTCTGTTCTTCTACAGTCAGTTATAACAGAAAACAAATCAACTTGTAAGATGGGAGCTAAGCCACTCTGTCCATCTTCACTTCTAGGCATAAGCAATGAAACCTATTCTGACTTCACATACTTATTTGATCCTTTCCAACATATTCTGTGGTGTCAGTGTCCTTTTGACTTATACTGTAGAATCTGTTTATGTATTATTCCATCAGTCATTCTTTCAAATTGTTTATCTGATTTGTGCTCGTCTATTCTGTACTTTCTAATCACTTCATTCTTGATGTTGTGTATTATAACGTTGCCTTTTTTTTTTTTTCTTGGCACTGCAGCCCCAGTGGGCCTAGGCCTACCTCCATGAACTTCTCCGTTCACTTCGGTTTTTCTAGATCTTTACACATACAGTAGGACTCCTTGGGCGAGTGATCAGCTCGTTGCAAGGCTTCTATCTGTAGGCAAACACAGAAAAATGCATACAAACATCCATGTCCTGAGTGGGATTCGAACCCACGATCTCGGCTTCCGAGCAAGCAAAGACAATGGATACCTTAGGCCGCTCGGCTACTGTGACTAGCATAACGTCGCCTTTAGCTGTTTTTGATTATCTCATTACTGCTGATCATTTAAAAATGTGATACCTCATATGCTTGCAGAAACAATCTGGCTGGAAATTTTTGTGACAGACACTCCTTTCGTTTTATCCATAATCATGACTGAACATACTTGGAAGTAAAATTAATTTTCCATTAGACTTCTGTGAAATTTTGTTGCCAGTTTTGACTGTGTCAGGAGGAGATGTGGATGTACCACGTATAGAGATTTGTGTTCAAAAGATAATTAATTTGTATTCTCTCATTTGTGGACGTTTTATGGATTTGATGGAACTGCAAAGAATTATGGAGGAAAGGAGGAAGCAGTGTTAGACGTTTTTATGGTTATATGTGATGTGCAAATTGGAGGATAATATTAAAATAGCCCTTAAAGAAATAGGATGGGAGAGAGTGGACTGGATTTGTCTCCTCAGGATAGCAACCAATGATGGGCCCTTATGAATACAGTAATGAACCTTCAGCTTCCATATAATGTGGGAATTCCTTGAGTACTTAAGCAACTATTAGCTTCTCAAGAAAGACCCATTTCCATGGAATTATGGTGCAATGTGAGCATTCACCAGAAAGGACTGAGGTAAATGATGATGAACCTCAGTTGGCCTGTTCCATAGTTGAGATTCATGTTCAATTACATGACATGTGTTGCTTGGGCCCATGATTTACTTGTGTAGAACATATTTAAATCTGAACTAGAGGTGAGCCATGTTTGTTCAAAACTAATTGAAAGCCATAAATTTAACTACACACCATTTTGCATCAGTGCATCAGTGTGGCAGTCTGGCTGGTGAGATGGTCATTTCATGGACTGCAACTCAGAAAATGCTACCTTAAATCACGTTAAGAGATGCGACTTTACTTTATCATTAAATTTTGATTCAGGTTTTGCAGTGATATTAGTTACTGTTAATGCACAAGTGGGTGTGCATTACACACAGTGGGACTGTAAGATTAGTTTGAATACTTAGACTTTTTTTGTTTTGTTTTAAACAACCAACATAATTGGCATATTCATTAGCTCAGACATTTGCAAAACATCCATAATACATTTTTTAGTAGATGCACACAAATTCATGAACTTGTTTATTCACTTATGCACTTTCACATTACTTTTTTCTTTTAATTCATTACATTCAGTTTGTAATATAGTGATATGTGTATACTCATACAATAACATAATACTAGTCATCTGCAGTATGCTCTTGAGAGTAAACTAAAGAAACTTCTGTACTGTATGAAAAGCTACAACAGAGTGTTTTAATTTTACAAACATAGTGGAACCCACATTTAATGTTTAATTTCGGTTATCCTGAGTCAGTAATCTCGCTGTTCAATTGTGTCAGTGTAAGTCATTGGTCCCAAAGGAAACCTTAAATGGGTGTTCCACTGTCTATGCTTTTGTGTAGAGCAATAGTGATTTTCATAGTTTCTTTTTGGGGCTTTGGTAGAGCGTTGGTATCTTCATTTTAGTCAGGTAGTATACCTATTTTGAAAAATGTTTACAGTATGTTGTCATGCCAAAAGAAAATGTACCGTAATTACTTTTGATCTCCTTATTACCATCATTTGTTTTCATTCCCCTCCCACCATTTTGTCATGGAATAGTCTCGTTGACTGTTGTGTATTATCATCTCAGAAGTATGCAAATTTTTCAACCCACTATGATGTTAATAAGAAGTCTGTTCACATTAAATTGCAATACTCTGCTAACAGGTGATCATCAAATGTGTATATCTTTTAGTCGTTTAATGCACTTATATTTGTGTATATATAGAATTGTATTTCATGTTATTTTCTTTTTATTTTAAAATGTTTCTTATAGAAAATGTTATGTTTGTTGTTGGTTTTATAAAAACTCCCTAGTTTCTTGAAAACAAACAAGAAATTATGAGCTTCCATATAATCTGCCTTGAAATATTTTTATAACATTGGAGTAGTTTATGATCTCCAGCCATATTTCTTGAGACTGCTGTCAGATGTTCATGTTGAAAATCAAAATGTGAGAAAATCAGATACTTAAAGATTACCTTGAATTATTTCATGGGCCTAGTCCAGCAAGTAACAATGGATGTTCTTTCATGCAATATGGCACATTGACTTCAAATAAGAGCCTTAAAATACTGATGCCTTACACACTTTTTAAGAATAGACATAAATCCAGTAAACAAGTGTTAACATTAAGACGTTACCATGGTGGTGACTGAAAATTATAGTCCTGTAGGATGTGACACCTTATAATCTGAGTGATTGATTCAGAGGAACTTGTGGCCTTCTTCTTCAGGGCTACCCTGAAGACCATGGTCTCCCAGAAAATGTAGGCCACAGGTTCCTCCAAAATGTCAGTTACAATCTACCAGACTACACACAGCCACATCCAGAAGGACTGTAACGTTACAGTGTTACTTGATGTGTACAAGATTCCGTGTTCCCTGTGTGATGTGACAATAATGTGTACTTTTTTTATGTCCTGGCTAATTCTTGAGCTAAAGTTGTAGTACCATATTGGTTCTATCTATTGATGCAAATATTCAGGTTTTTATGTTTTGTTTTATTTTTTTAATTATGTATATATTATGCAAGAAGTACATATTCTTGAAATAATGTTATTTGTTTATTTCGGTATGTAACCTCATGTTCCCTGTCTTGTGAATTCCATCCATCTGTTCCGTAAACTTGGAAAATATGTCATTATTGCGATACTATATTGCTTTCTGTTGACTTATGGTACATAGATGTTGATTCATCAATGTTAAAAAGTGTATCTGGCTATTTATTTAGGGGGCACCAGTTGACTCAGGACTCAGTGGTCTGGTTTTTAGGCACATTTGCAACTGTGTGAAGTTCTTTGGTCCATCTGTATGCGTGAAACCTCTGAGAACTGCTCTACAGATTTAATGAAATTTAATATTGTAGAATTGTACAATAAATTGTCAAACCCTTTAGATTGGACAATTTCAGCACCACTTACATGAACACCTTAAATATTTGAGAGACAATATTTTGACAAAAATGTACAGAGAAAAATTAAACATTCTATGTCCAATATATTTTTTTGTGATTTACAGTTTCTGAGATAATTAAAATGGATGTTACGTGTCCATTTTCAAACTTGTATATTCGCTAATCAATAGGGTCCTCCTGAATAAAACTACAATTAGGAAAGAAGCATAAAATTCTTTATTGAGTCCAGACTGTGTTGAAATCAGATTTGTTTTACTATTTTAATTTATCAGAAGTCTTTTTCAATATTTAAGGCTAATGTTTTATTTTCTTACATACTGGTGAGTAACAAAGTAATTAGTACTTACAAAATATATATTAAAAATCTGTTTTCTGTGGGTTTCCTAACCTGCTGTAATTATAATATGAATAAAGGCAATAATAACTGATTTGTGAATCTCAGAACATGCTATGAACATTTTAATTCCTACAAATCTCAATTTGATTTAATACTACACTTGCGATTTAGGCAAAAGTGCAGTGGCCCTTCCAGCAGCGCTTATGGTACAGCTACGGTACGTTATTTATAAACTTTCGAGAAAAATTTAGTTGTAAAATGAATTGTCTCTGAATTAAAGAACGCTGCTGCGGCTGAGAATTTTTGTATAGTATTATATCACTAGTGGCAGAATATTCAAACGTTGACTTTGTAAGGCACAAACAGGTGACGGTTTTACGGGCAGAACACAAGGAACTACTGAAGCATTTAATCCTTATGATCCTCACGGTCCTCACTTTACAAAGAATACACACACTACTAATGATCAAACAAGGGCATAAGACGAGAGGAATACAAATAGTCCCATCAGATGTACAAAGTAACTCCATAAAATTGGGATGAAATCTTATATTAAATACGCTCATAGATTCGGCGGTAATTGATAAAGATGAGTTTAGTCTATTTTGTAAGTAAAATGAGCGAGTACGAAACACTTCTCCCTTTTTTATCGCTATCTTTCTATACTCATTTTTTTTAGTACCATGTATGAAAGTATACTCGTAAATCATTTTACCAGATAACGATTTTATTTCCTACGTATTCTCATATATTACATTAACCGTAATTATGATACCTGACAAGTACTTATAAGATCAAAATAAATATTTTAAATTGTAGTCCTACATTCTCCGCGTATGAAGTAAATATATAGTACATATTTGAACATTTAGGCACAAAACTCTTCCATACTTCCGCAGACGCATGCGCTAGTCACGTGATTTGCCATTATCCATTTTTATGGTTGGAAATTCTTGGAAAACTGTTGCAGATCGTTTGTGTCATATTTTCTTAGTAATTACTATTCAGAAGAAATAATATTAGTCACTGGTATTGAAAATCCGTTGTCAGAGTGACGACAAAACCAGACATAAGATTCGGTAAGTTGTGAAGTGGTATAGGGTGCGTTATCGGCGCGAAAAGAAAAGCAGAGGCTTCTAGTATTCAGATGTTTGGAATTTGTCTTGAGGCATCCCAACCTTGTTTACCATATCACGCATTCAGCTCAAGTTAACATTTGAGAATTATACGGTATTTCTTTTATACGATAGATAACGTGTAAATTTCTGTAGAGGCCATTGTTGCTTTGTTTTACGTCATCTGGCCTTGTCTAGTATAAGACGCATAGGTATCAGTCGTGACAATAAACTAGCGTGTAAGGAGAAGCGTCTGGGTGTGCTCTTTGAAATATGGTTATAAGCGACCTTTTGTTTTCTAGGAAGTAGTAATTCAAGTAAAGAAGTATGGACTCCCAGCGCTAGGCCGGTCTGTAGCACTTGCCGAATGGCAGACATGAGGTTGGGGTTTTTAGTTGCGATGATTCGTTTATTTAGCCGAGTGTGATAACGGAATAATAATTATAATGTCGGAAGACGTTAAGGATAGACCATCCTGTTGTTATGAAGACACAAGTAAGTTCATGTAGATTTTTTTGGGAGTGTGGGATTGAAATGGGAGCAAGCAAAGTGGTTTTAGAGGCTCATGTTATTTGGATGTTCAGGTTGCTCCAATACGGACTGCAACCCAATGTCCCTCTGGACTAAGGCTCAGCAGCTCCAGGGAGATGCACTGCAGCAGGTGCGAGCTGTGTATGGGGAGCATTTTCCCATTGAAGTACGCCATTTCCTTGCTGCATGGATCGAAGAGAAGATGTGGTATGTTTATTTCTTTGTGGCGTGAAGTCATGTCACTTTATGATGACAGCCCACAGGTCCTGCAGCTGTATATGATAAAAATATAATTTTGTTAAATATATTTGAATAGTTTCTGGTGTTAGGAGCAAGACTTTACAACTGATAAGTATTTGCTCATACTAGAATAATTTAATTAGGTGGAATTATAACTGAACTTCATGGAATATTGAATATTAAGCAAAAATTTTGATATATGAAATATACCTGTCTTTGTAGTTGTTAGTGGTATGAACTACAAAGTCCTTCATTAAGTTAAACCATTTAATTGTGGTTGCTTTCGCACCATAATGGATGTATTAACCATATTTCTATGGACAGTCAAAAGTAGGATAGCGTAGTCAATGAACTGGCTATCTTTGGATGAAATAGCCAAGTTCTGTCTTGGTAAGGCATTGATTTGATATCTCTGATATCTGTGGCTTCTCATCCATGGGGTTAAAGGTTTCTTGAGTCTGATGGTGACCGTTCATTTTCACTTTATGCAAAGTCTTAAAAATACTTATGCTAATATAATTGTTCTATTTATATACAGATTCTCAGTGTGTACTTTTGTGGTAAAGAATATAGAGGTTTTATGGAAAGATTGTACATTTTAATGTGCTCTAAGATATCATCAGGAATCAGTATTATTAGGTTTTTCGTCTCTGTATCCCATAAACTTAATGAAATTTAATGAAAGACATTGCAGCTAGTTTTATTATTGCTGAAATTACCATAGTTCTTGTATAATAATATGTTAACACTATAGTTTCAGACACATGAAAATTGTTTTCAAATGTATTAAGACATTTAGATGTTAAAATTTTATGTATAATGCAGCTGGAGGATGAGAAACCCCAGGAAATTTACGAATTACAGGTGGAGATTCTGCTCGTACTTCCATCTCTTCTTCTGGGTAGAATCTCTTCCCCCTCCTCTGAGCCTTCCACCTTCCTTGGTTGTCATCTTGCATTTTACACTGTTGTCAAAAAATGTAGCTGTAGAAGGTAGTCATTTCCTTGCTAGGAACACCACACACTCTCACTATGACATTTTCTGAAGCACTAGGACAAGCGAAATATTATATGAGTAAATTTTAATTTCTTAGTTTGAGCATTTTTGTTTTTCTAAAGTTCTTGCTACTATATGTTGTGATGTAGCCAAGGAAAACAACCATATCCTGGGCTAAGAGTGAATAGTTCTGCTTTTACCCTTGGTCCTCAACATGTGAACATTTGATTTATGAATCTCCATGCATATGAATGACATAAGAACTGATGGTTTGTTCTAATTTGTTTATTTTCCTCTACATATATGTCTGTGGGTGTGTAATGTGCTCTTAAACATTTATTTAAGAGGTAAACTACATACAGTATTATATAATAAATAGGATTTATTCATAAGCTTAAGTACGTATTGTTAATTACATTATTTCTATTGGGAAAAAATATAGTTCGGTTTAAGAATGAGTCTGTATATGGACAAGGCTTTGGAACGTAAACCATTCATAAATTGAGGAAGACGTATCTATAATGTTGTTGTGTGATAATGACTAGACAGGATGTTTGGACTGGTAATTGGATTTATTGAACACTTATAACATGTAGCTATGAAGGATTAATCTAATCTATACACTATGGATCACTATAGCGCACACGCCTTAATGCAGACAGCGTATAAAGCACTGCTTCCAGCAGTTCTTCTGTTGTTTCTTGCGTATCTGTTGCCATGGACCTGTTCAGCATGCCGTTGCCTAGCAATGGTTGCCCCTTCTCGCTCCACCATTCTGGCCTTCACCTGTCATGTCACAATATAATCTCTTCCAGAATTTTTGGATGGTCATACATTAAACTGTCGACTGGCAGTAGTCCAGTGACCATCAGTAGGTGAACATTATCCCATTGAAGTGAAATAAATATATATCCTATTCTTACGTGTTTCATTCCCAGGGACCTAGATCCAGAAAACCCACAGCACGAGCAGTATGTGGCGGGGTTGATTGCATCTCTGATTCAGGAATTAGAGGCAAAAGCTAATACTATGACAACAGAAGATTTATTTCTTACAAAATTGAAGCTAATTGAGGCTGCCAATATGTTCAGAGTAAGTAATAGAAGGAAAATATACCAAATTATTTTAGCTGACATATGCAGTTTCATAAATATAAAATTACAAATCAGTGATGTTGAAAGTGGAGTGAGACTCATTTTGAAATGAAATGTAATTTATGAGCACAGATGTGTGTTGGATTTAAGTTAATATTAAAGCAGCAAGAAAACTGCATAACGAGGAGCTTCATACCTCATACTCTTTGCCAAGTATGATTAGAATGATCAAGTCAAGGAGGATGAGATGGGTAGGGCTTGCAACATGAATGGGAGAGGAGGAAAATGCATCTAGGATATTGGTGGGAAAGCAAGAAGGAAATATACCACTAGGAAAACCCAAGAACTAAGTTGGTGGATAATATTAAAATGGATTTTATGGAGACAGGATGGAGTGATATGGACTAGATTGATTTGGCTCTGGGTAGGGACCAGTGGAGGGTTTTTGTGAACACGGTAATGAACCTCAGGTTCTTGAAGATGTTAGGAAGTTCTTGAATACCTGCAAAACTGTCAGCTTCTCAAGAAGGGCTCGGCTCAATGAAGTTAGAAGAAAATGTTTAGATCAGAAATTGTTGCTTGCTTTTGCAGCTCAGAGTGCATTTAAATTATTATCAGTTACTTTCATACAGGTAAAGTAGGTTTTTAAAGAGATTTTTATGTACTTTGACTAAAGCAGTTGTGAGGTACATAACACTTTGAGCAGGAAATATTATGGAAGAAAAGTCTTGTGTTTGTGTAACCTAATTGAGGTACTGTCCTGTCAGTCATTTTCCTTCTGTGTGAAGTGAAGGAAACAGTGAAGAACCTTCATCAGGTTAGTTGGTGTTCTGGCCAAGATATAAACCAAGCACCTCATAAGTATGGGTCTAATTGCTACACTAACCTTATTGGTGCATTAGGTGGCGCTAAGATTGTTCTCACCTCATAAATTCTTGCAGCTGTAAGATTTATAATAAATTTAACTTCTGATGAATGTGTTTTGTCTCCTGATTTTTTTTAATTTAATTATAATGAATGCTGAGAGATAGAATTGTGTAGGTAAAATGTTCTAGCCAGCGGATGAAACTTGTAGGTATAGTTAGATGTCCAAGATCACAGGTCTTCATGTCTTCCAACGAATTAAGTGCTCCATCTGTTTGTCTTTCCAAAACACCTCAGTTGCCTGAATGATGTTTTTCATGATCTGTTTTTATGTTGATCTTCATCCTTGACATTATTCTTTTAGTTTTGTGTTAAATGTCGTCTTTGGGATCCTCTGTTAATTGTTCTTATAAGTAAAACATGCATGTACTGTCCATTTGTATTATTTATTAATTTATCTTCTGAAGTATTTATTTCTAAAATTTATCTATTTTCCAAATTTTTCTTACTTTTTCTTCTGAATGTCATAAATACCACAACAGGCTGGACGATCAAGGAGTCGGGGATAGATTGTCACTTGGGGCAAGAGATTTTTTCTCTTTCAAATAATGTACAGACTGGCTCTGGGGGTCACCCAACCTGAGCAATGGGAAAGGAAGGGGCTCTTTCCTCAGGGACAAAATGGAAAGGGCATGAAGCAGACCACTCCCTCACATCTAGTGCCAAGGTTAATATTGATGTAACTGTACCTCCACTCCACCATACATCTTAATGGTGTGGCACTTAATTAATTAATCCCAGGGTTAAAACTATCTCTGACTTTACCTTTTAAATGTCACAATATGAAGGCAGATTATGTACTTCCATAAAGAAATTCAAAGTATGGTTTCATGGCCTTTTTTTTTCAGCAAAGGTACAGTCATAATCCTCTGAGCCTTTTCCGCATAATTCGACACTGTCTCAATACAGAGATGAAGCTAGTCCGTCAAGTTGAGAATGTAAGTAATTGGATCTTCTAAAACTATAACATTAAAAAATAATTTGGGATATTTCTCCCATCAGAAATGTAAATGTTGCATATACTGAAACAACAACTCATAGGGCAAGTTACTTTTAGGTTGCACTGGGAAGAGGAGGAATTGTGGCTCCTGGACTATCGTTGATCCCTGATTCAAATGCTGAGATTGCTCAGCAGCTCGATTATTTGCGGAGACGAACCCAGGAAACTGGTGAAGATTTGCGTAAAATGGAGCAGGAACAAGAATCTTTCGCACTCCAGTATCATGAATGTACAAAACTCAATGGTAAGTAAATAATGATTCATTAGTGAACAGAAATGGGTGGAGTTCTTGAAATTGTATGTTCTTTCAGAGTACTAGATGACAGACAAAACCTAGAAACTGTAATGCCAAACATTATGGTTCATGCTCTTATTATTTCCTTCTGTGAGAACTGAAAAAGAATTGGAGTGCATATAGAGTTAGTTCATCAACCTGATGACATTCCGTTCTGTATGTTAGAAACATGGCCATATTTATTTTTTGTGAATTACTCTCGAAATGCAAGTACAGTCAACTCTCGATTATCCGGGGGCAGATTAACCAGTTTGCGGCTTAACCCTTCTGCGCGGTCATTTAAATTCCGCGGCCATCTCTCCGGCGGTAATATATTCAGCCGGCCATTTAAATTTTTCTCGAAAATGATTTATTCATCATTGTTCTTAAATTCTATGAGTTAGGAACATGAAACTTTCACTAAAATGATCTTAAAAGGTGGTTTTATAACCTTACCTTATAATATGAGCGCCCGGTATCTCGGCAATGGAAGCAGGTTGTTTAGAATTTGAGCAGTGAATGGTACACCTTGAAGGATGAAACTTTCACTAAAATGATCTTAAAAGATGGTTTTTGTAACCTTACCTTATAATATGAGCGCCCGGTATCTCGGCAATGGAAGCAGGTGTTTAGAATTTGAGCAGTGTAAGGTAGGCCTTGAAGCATTCTTCTAACACAACGCTGCCCCCACATTCACCAGACCAATATTGTGTATCTTTTCTTTGGCTCTTTTTTTTTAACCACACATCTTCTATGCGGCCTTGCCTTCTTCCCCGTGAGGGGTATATGTTCAAGGAAATGTCTTTCCGTGAGCCGTTTAGCTAGTCAGGTCAGCTGCAGTAAATTCAACGTTACGAGTTATCATAACAAGGGGTTGTTGCTATGCCTTTGATATTCCATCCATTTTGGCGGCAGTAGATGTCATAGGGGTGACCACAGAATTCATGAAGTTATTCTAAGAACTGGCTGGTATGTAGTGCACGAAAGCAGAGCTTAGCTGGCTCAAAAAAAATATTTATGGTCATCCCTCGAAACGACCACCANAATTGAGTGTGTTAGTGTGGCCAGCTCAGGGCAATATGATATTATAAACACAGCACATATCACGTCTCTGCTGTTTATAACTTCATAGGAAAGAAAACACGCCATTCATAACAGTTTGAACGAGGAAACCTCTTCCAAGAGCAACAGGAACTTTGCTGCAAGACAGGCATATGTAACGATGAATTAGCGCAGCTAAACTCATGTCTCATTATATACGGTTCTCCTGACAACAGGCCAGCGAAAAATCTAACAATCTACAGCAAAACCATCAATTATTATTATGGGCGTTATAACATAGGTGTGCAGCTGGACGAAACATAGACGTCGAACCCCCGCAGACGATTTAAATACCTGACGAAACATACACGTCAAACCACGCTGAACGGTTAACTGGGGCTACTCAGGCTTTTTTGATGCTTATATGTTGTTTAATATTCATTCACTTTTGTTTCACATGGTGAGTTGTAACACTGTTTTCACACTAGTATGAACCGAACTCTGCATTCTTTGGTCCCGTTATGCTAACACAATGTTCTAGGGTAGGAGTGAAAGAATGCAAGGATTTGTGGAAAGTTTCAAGGACAGATACACCGCCCCAGTTGGTCTCTTTGTATCGATCTTCAAGTGTGTTAGCAAAATGTCAGGGTGTAAAAGGAAGTGTGTTGTGTTAAGTATCCAACAGAAAAGGGAAAATGCCGCGAAAAAGTAAACGACAATATTAAATTTTTTTAAGTGTTAAGTGTGAATATTCGTAAAAAGTGTTGGATGTTGTTGAAGACTGTGATTGAAATAACTAATTCATACTTCAGTGTAATGTAAAAAAAGTATTAAATAGGCCATGAGAAGACATATAAATGAGGTTGAATAAATTTAAATACAGGTAGGCCTATAGTATTATGAAGGTACAGTATTACAGTACTATTTTTAGTAAAATTTGTCTTAACCGGGTTTTCGATTAATCGTGATTTCCATCCGCACCATTATCCCGGATAACCGAGAGTTGAGTGTAAATATAAGTTGCAGGTTACATTCATTTTTTTTATTGTGGTGTACGAAATTTCAGTTGAAATTGTGGTGCGTTCTGATAAACATTTATTAAATTATGTTTGTATATTTATCCACAGCCCATTTGCAGCATCTGCAGACCCAACCTCAGAATCAACAAAATGTGGAACTGGAGAAGAAACTGAGGCGACAGAAAGAGATGTTAGAACAAATGCTTAATCAGAAGGTAAGTATTAATTAAGTATATTTCCAGCTAGCGGTTCTTATTCACATATTGTAATTATGAGGTGACATTTAGATACAGAACTGCGTTCTCATATACCACAAGTTTTTGTGTAATGTTTTTGTCAGTGACTAGTTGACGTTGCCTGTTTCATATGGTTCTGCAACCTGGTCTCTCACTTTAAGCGAAGAACATAGACTGAAGGTATATGAGAACTGGGTGCTGGGCGGAATATTAGGATCTAAGAGAGGGGAAGTAATTCAAGTATGGAGAAAGTTATATAATGAGGAGTTTTGTAATCTGGTAGAACTAACATTGGCATTTTTTTGTCTTTATTACATTGCTGCACATTTGCTTTAGAAATACTGTATTTCCTAGATGTCCTACAGTGGTAGTCTTTTTCATGCATCTGGATTATCGTTAATTTAAAATTATCATTGTTTACACTTCATACGGATGAAGGATAACACATGTTCCTTTGCTTCCATGTGATCTTCATCCTTGCATCATATGATGTATGAGACCGTTGTTCCAAAGGCATATTGGTTCAGGCATTCAAAAGTTGATATGGGTAATCTCAGAAGCCTACTTTTGTTTTTTCATAATGAGGAAAGTAGCCTAAAAATTGAATGTGTAAATTAATAACATGTAATACATTAATTAATTTTCAGTATTAGTACTAACATGATAACAGTGTCATACCCTGACATATATCTGTATGCTGTTGATGCGAATATTTCCAATGCTTTCTTCCACTCAGCCATGGAGAAAGACATTTGAAATGGATTTGCATTTTAGAAAATCAGCTATTCATAGACTTCAAGAAAGCCTATGATTCAGTTAGGAGGGAAGTATTGTACAGTATTCTGATAGAGTTTGGGATACCCATGAAACTAGTTAGGTTGATTAAAATGTGTTTAAACGAAATGTATAGGAAAGTCCATGTAGGTAAACATTTGTCTGATAAATTTCCTATCCAGAATGGTCTAAAACAAGGAGATGCTTTATCGCCACTCCTATTCAACATTGCTTTAGGTAAATGGGACACATCAGCTGTTGGCCTGTGCCGATGATGTGAATCTACTGGGTGATAATATAGATACCATAAAGAAAAACACAGAAACTTTAACTGATGCAAGTAAAGAGGTTGGTCTAGAAGTAAACACAAAGAAAACTAAGTATATGTTGCTGTCTTGTCACCAAAATGTAGGGCAAAATCATGATATAAAGATAGGAAACAGATGTTTTGAAAATGTGGCACAATTCAGATATTTGGGAACAACAATAACAGATTGAAATCTGATTCAGGAGGAAATTAAGAAGAGATTGAACTCGGGTAATGCTTGCTACCATTCAGTCCAGAACCTTTTGTCTTCTCATCTGCTGTCCAAAAACATAAAAATTAGAATATACAAAACTATAGTTTTGCTGGTGGTTCTGTATGGGTCTCTGACATTGAGGGAGGAACATAGACTGAGGGTGTTTGAGAACAGGGTGTTGAGAATATTTGGACCAAAGAAAGATGAAGTGACAGGTTGGAGAAAACTGCATGATGAGGAGCTTCATAACTTGTACTCTTCTCCAAGTATAATTAGAATGATCAAGTCAAGAAGGATGAGGTGGGCAGGGCATGTAGCATGAATAGGGAAGATGAATGCGTATAGGATATTGGTGGGAAAGCCAGAAGGAAAGAGACCAGTGGGAAGACCAAGGCGTAGGTGAGTGGACAATATTAAAATGGATCTTAGAGAGATAGGATGGGATGGTATGGATTGGATTGATCTGGCTCAGGATAGGGACCAGTGGAAGGCTCTTGTGAACATAGTAATGAACCTTTGGGTTCCATAAGATGCTGGGAAATCCTTGAGTAACTGCAGAATTGACAGCTCCTCCAGAAGATCTCCGCTCCATGAGTAAGTAAGTAAGTAAGTAAGTAAGTAAGTAAAGCTTCAAATCTGAGACCACCACTGACCATTTTGTCATGTCAGACCATTGAAGCAAGTTCATATATATAAAGTATGCATTCATATGTCCATGCATGAGGTATGATTGATTTGCAGTCCATATTGCAACTGTTTAGTATTCTGCGTCAATAATATCAAATATATAGTCAGCAGGGAAGTTCTCTTGTATCTTTGTTATCCAGGCATAATAATTTTGAGTATGCTGTGGTTGTCAGCTGTATATTAATTCAGGAGTAATCATTATTGTTTGGGAATAGTGGATTTTGAAGCTCCCATTTCTTCAGTACTGAAACCATGCATTTTCTGGCCGGTTGAACCAGACACACAGCTCTGCCATCATAAAAATGTGATGAACAGATGCTAAAAGTTAAACTAATAAGAGAAAGTTCTTTAGTTTGTGGTGAATTTTTTTTGTTGGGGCGTGGGGGATTGAATATTCAAATTTCTTATAAAGGAAAACCTGAAATGATATCCATTGTGTGAGTATGGGTGGCTTTGTACATATTTTTGTGCTGTCTTGATTTAAATACTACGTTTCCTTTCTTGCATCTTTTGTGTTAAAATGTAAACTTACATCCATTGTTAACTTGAATTACAACTGTGACATAATGCCCTTCTTGGCCGTCCTCTATTTCGACCTGCATCCTTTCCTGGTTGTCCGTCATCCGTCCAAACATGTTGGTTAACAGACATTTCAGCTTGTCCTCCCAGTCCGAAGATATGTAAAGAGAGGCAACGAGATCCGACATCAAACCGCTTGAGTTCAGAAACATTACGGAGAGTGCCCCCTGATTTGACGCTGTAGCCACGCAATGAGTATGTGAAGAGGTAGCAGACAGGAATGATTTATTTGTAGAGGGTGAAGAGGAATAAGAATGTCAGTGTCTATAGATAATCAAAAATACCCAATAAATTTAATTATTTTGAACCCTGTGCCTAGTCACTAACCCTTGATATGTTTTTGTTGCAGGTAGCAGGACTAGTGCAGCTTCGATTAACTCTTGCGGACAAGTTGAAAGATACCATTACACACCTCAACACCCTGCAGTCTCGTGTTCTGGATGATGAGTTGATCCGCTGGAAACGTGAACAACAGCTCCAAGGCAATGGTGCACAATTCAACAGCAATTTAGACACCATCCAAGAATGGTGTGAATCCTTGGCTGAAATCATCTGGCTCAACAGGCAGCAGATAAAGGAAGCAGAGCGGTTGAAACAGAAGATTGGACTAGAACCAACCGGTATTACTGACATTTTGCCAGGTCTCAACAATCAGATCACACAGCTGTTGTCCTCCCTAGTTACAAGGTAAGCATCAGAATCATCTAATGAAATACAAATGTTCTTGCTAAGGAGCTTTCATTTCAAGATTAACAGTTTATACTTATACATTATAAAGTGAAATCCTGTTTTCTTCTTTGTCCAAGATGAAGCCTGGTGTATATATGTTATTTTCTCATTTTTAATGAATTAGTAACTAACCTGCCTTCATTAAGAACCTCCCAGAACTTGTGTCTTGATAGAATGCAATTGTAAGGGGAAAAAATAATCAGTTTCATCTTTATTCTCTCTAGGAAATCATTGCCATATAAGCATAATCTTTGATTGGTGATATATAAAGAAATTATTTTATGATAGTTAAATAGAGTGCATGCTGTAAGGAAGAATTATTGTGTGGCATAATTTTGCATAACCCCCCCCCCCAATTTAATAAAACCCTCAGTAAGGAGAGGCATTGATTTCTAGATTCATTAAATAGAGATTTTAAAGTATCTTGCTGGCACCTAGGATTGTGTTTCATTATGTAGAAGGTTCATTATAGTTCAGAGATTGTAAAAGTTCCTGAAGTATCGTTGAGTAATATGCCCAGACATGTGGAAGTAAAGAGACAGATAACATGCCACTCTGTTGCCACATTTTTTAAATATACATTGGTATGTTCCAGTACGTTCATTATTGAGAAGCAGCCCCCACAGGTGATGAAGACAAACACAAGGTTCTCGTCTACAGTTCGGTTGTTAGTGGGTGGGAAACTTAATGTTCACATGACCCCACCTCAGGTGAGATGATTTGCCTTTTTATAATATACACATTGAAATTATTAAAAAAAAACATTTTGTCTGATGGAAAATTAATCAATTTACCTGTGATTGCCAGACTTCTGAAAGAAATGCAGCTGTATTCTCAGATTACAAAACTATAGATGCTTAGTTTTATGTATTTAGAAACTTCTGACTGAAGTTACTGCAGTTTCTTCATGTCATTTTTACTGCAGAGGGGAAGACAGGAAGGTAGAATCCTTGTGTTTTGGTGAAAACTTCGGTTTAAAGTGTGAAATGTTATGACAGTATTGCAGCGAACCAGGTTACACAAAACTGAAGGCCAGAAACCACAATTTGAGCTTCCATGAGGGATTCCTTGTGTTATGTGAATGGAATATATTTTATATACTTTGAATATATAAATGAATACACAAAAATGGCCTGGGCAATACCCATCTGGCCCCCTGTAGCACAGTCTTATAAACATCTTATTCTATCATGAATATATCATTTAACTCTGTTAATATTTTTACATTTACTTTTTCTCTTTTTAATAAATGTATGTTTATGAAATAATAGACTCCAAACTAAAAAGAGCAGAATCTAATTAAACACTCCTTGCTCCTTGAATTAAAAGGAATAGAAAATTTTAAAGTTTTTAGAAATAAATTAAAAAGTTATTTATTTCAAAACTGCAGGAGTTTTTTTAGTAACAGTGATGGGCGGTAGTTTGGTGGCTTGGGTTGGTTTTGATGTGATGTGGATGAATGTAGATGTTTTAAGTGTATGTGTTGCTTTATATTAAATTGTTGGGTGTTGTCATGCAGGGTTGCTAAGCTTCAGCGGGGGGACGATGATTCATAGATGATTGTATTGTTTTTCTTGTGTGTTGTTTTTTACATTTTTAAGAGTTGTTAGCTTGTAGTGCTTAGCTGTTTTTAACTGACTTGTCCAACTCTACTTGTGTAACAGTTTATGGATGTTAAATAAATTATGAATTACATTAACCATTCTGTAATATATTTCACAATTAAAACAGTTCACAGCAGTTTTCTCTGTACAGAAGTGAGTACTGGAAAGTAATCTTTGTCTGAAATATCTTTGAGCGTGCATCATCATCAGTTAAGTGATCATTAATGTTATCATTAAATTACTAGAGTCTAATTAGTGATCGTTAATGTTATCGTTAAGTTACTAGAGTCTAATTTCAGCACATGGTGGTAACCAAAATCACCGTGCCAGAGATATTGAACATGTGAGTTTTGTCCACGAGGTGTGACATACCATCAAAGATGTTTTAGACAGACAACACATTAGCCAAAAATCACTTTTGCAATTAATTTTAAATTGTAGAAACTTGCATATAATTTAATGTTCCAGGTTAAAGTGACCATAATAAGTGAAGCACAAGCAAATGCTCTTTTGAAAAATGACAAAATGGCAAAAGGTGAGGCAAGTGGTGAGATTCTAAACAACACTGGTACAATGGAATATCATCAAGCTACTCGTCAGCTTTCTGTCAGTTTTAGGTAATTTTCAGTCCTTTCAAATTGTGTCATAGGCACAACTAAATGTAGCATTTTGCAACATTGTATACAGTTCCTTGGAACCTGTGATTGTGGATGTCTTACTCAAATTCAGTGTAACCACCTTTCCTGTACACTGCCTTCTTAGAACAGTGGCGTTTCTATAATTTGTGTTCTTCATATGTTCAGATTACTGAAAAAGGGTACTGTATTGAAATATTTGAGGTTTCCACAGCGGTGACGGAAGAATGCCGGCTTCTGGGATGTGGTGCCATGTGGATCTTATGTGAACCGACGTTTCATAGGATGTATTGCCGCCATCTTCAGGATTGAAAAATCTGCAAGTGAGAAACCAGCGTGAGCAGGTCTCTGCAGTCTGCTTGTAAATTTTTCTACCCTGTGGATGGAGGCAATACGTTCCTTCAAAATGTCAGGTCACGCAAGATTTACAGATTGCCACATCCAGAAGATGGCATTCTACTGTATTGGAAATTTTGCATTTGGGTTAATAAATAGAATGAGTATTAGTTTTAGTTCTATCCACCTCCAGTATATAACATTTGAATGACTGTAGTTGTCCTGTGTTTTTTTCCAGAACTTGTTTAACTTGATTAATTCACCTTATCTTTAGGCTTTCTGTATAGTTTCTCACAGTTTCTTGACATTAATTTAATTTTATGTAAAGCTTTCTTCAGTTCCATGTTCAAATCCCAGATGGGGATTTCATCGTATTTCACGTGGTCTGAGAAAACGCTGATTTGGGTTTCTTGCAGAAATATGCAGCTGAAGAAAATAAAGCGAGCAGAAAAGAAGGGTACAGAATCTGTCATGGATGAAAAATTTTCCCTTCTATTTCAATCACAGTTTTCTGTGGGTGGAGGAGAGCTCGTCTTCCAGGTTAGTGCCATGTTGCACCCTTCTGATAGCAGCAAGTCATAGGAATTGGAAAGCCTTTCGCCACAAAATAAAGATCAGTTACTGTACAAGTATGGAAATATGGATTATGCATCTTTCAAGCAAGAGGAAAATTAATGAGCTAAATCATCGCAATATTAATGTACCATTAAAACAGAGCCTTGAACACACTTCAGTAATTTTAGCAACTGGGTATTTTGGTGGCTGTCACCAAAATACCCTATATACAATATACACAGCAGGATGCAGAAATATAAAGATCATTGCTATATTTGCAGCTTGGATAATCAGTTATATGTATACAGTAGAATCTGCATTTGCTGTTCCTCAATTTAAGGTTTTTCCCTATTTAATGTTCAATTTCAAAGATTGCAGGTTAGTAATTTAGTTGTGGAGTACACTCCATTTAAGATTTTCCTCAGTTGATCGTATGTTCTCTTGTGATATGAAAGACCTTGAATTTTCAGTTTTTTTAGTAGCAACTACAGAGACTGAAATGGTTCTCTTTGGATTTTGTACAGCAGCTAATTATTTAAGTTCATTCCAAAGATGGTAATCTGGTGGATTTAAATCTGGAGAATTTGGTGTCCACTCTTTGTGTATTGTCATCTCTGATACGGATGTAAAAAGTCTGTTTTTATCATTGAAAATGGAAACATTGAACTTTGTAGTCATTTATTTATACCCACCGTAATGTTGTGATGCGTTACATGACTCAGCACAGGGTTTGGATTGGTAATAGAATTAATTGAAGGCTTGTAAGTCGTAACTATAAGTGTCTCACTGTTTTACACACACTAAAGGTTACTGCCACTACAGCACTCATATTTTCTTGTAGATCTTCACTAGTTGTTGCTTGGTAATGGCTTTTGACCAGGGAAATTGCTCTAGCTCTAGCTCTGTGCTTGTGCTCTTGCTGGCTAGTGACTGACAACTAACAAACTTCAGAGTCAAAGTTGTGTTATGACTGATGGTCAGTGGGCCAGTCTATATTGGTTTCAAGCCCCATCTGGGGCCCAAGACCAAATTTTTGCTTCTGTCCGACAGTTTGCAGGTTCGTTGATCTGGGGCACCCTCTCTGATGAGAGGACAGGTTTGTCGTTCACAATTGCTGTTGTCCCTCGCAAGCATAGTCAGTCTTGGGTCTAAGTCCTGTGGGTTTCACCATGTTTTACTGTCTCATTCAAGACTCCCCCAACCTGGAGGGTCAGGTCTCTGTATTTTTGTCCCCAGGAACAGGGTCCAGTTATTCCTCTAGGCACTGGATTATGTTTTCGCTGCCTCCTACTACTCTTAGGGCTATGGTTGAAGTATTTGAACCCTCCTCCACACAGGCTACTGACGAAGTCAAGAGTCAGAGTTACTTTACTGCGGGCAGTTTACCTCAAATCGGTTCGTCATGGCGCCAGGATCCTCGAGGATCACAACAAGAGATTTTTTTTTTCAGCTGAATCCTTGCAGTCATAGTCTTCTCTGATGAGAGGATCGGTCTGTTAGGTGCACATATCGCACGTGTTATTGAATGCTCGCTTTTGCACTACATACAAGTTCTCTGTCCATCCAGGCTTTGCAAGGCAGGTCATTCCTATTGTACTTGTTTTATACTACAACAGCAGCTTAATTGCATGTGTGGTTGTAAGCTTGACCACTGCCAAGTTTAAGTCTCTAATATTTTCTGTAACTCACTTGGGCTGTTGGTCCTCATTATGTCGCCTCAGCACAGACCATATAGAGAACACCACTTCCTAGAATTCCTCCATTGTTAAATGTGTTAAGTGGACTGTTTCCTATTGTTGGTCTGGGTATTGTTTATGTGGAAGTGTGTTTCGGTTTCTGTTGAAACTTTTTTACCCGCCATTACCTAATCATTGGATGACGTTTCCTGTTAAAATATTCCAGCTCTCAGCTGTTATGTCTCAGTATTATGAACGTAATCAGTATTTAATTGGTGACTCTTTGTGGAGAAAATGGTGGACTTAAAGATACGTTTTGATGCAGGTATGGACATTGTCACTTCCAGTAGTTGTAATTGTACATGGAAATCAGGAACCACATGCATGGGCTACAGTAACATGGGACAATGCATTTGCTGAGCCAGGGCGTATACCATTTGCTGTTCCTGATAAAGTGGCGTGGTTGCAAGTAGCTGATGCCCTTAATATGAAATTCAAAGCAGCTACTGGTCGGCTACTCACAGATGAGAACCTTCGCTTCCTGGCTGAAAAGGCATTCAGGTAATAAACTTTGGTTAATCAAAGCAGCAGTTCCTTGCATATAGCACTCCTACCATCCTCTGAAGTTACTCTGTTTCAGATATGTTACCAAGATGTGATAAGAGACACTAGATGAAATGTGGAAAGAGCAAAAGAAGTGGTATGTAATTTCCCTCTAGTATAAGATTACCATTCAGTTAAAACACAGTATTTATCATGGTTTGGTTCCAGTTAGATTTGTTAAATTTGGGTGTTTAAACTGATATGTTGTGTTGTTAATAGACTACAGCACCTTTCATTGTTTTATATGCACACGCGCACACCGTCTGGCTCTGCAGCCCTTTGTGAACCTTGGCCTCCAGCACCAGCAGCCTCGAAGTGTCTTTGTCCATTGCAGTGGATCTCCAGTCTTTAACTTTCAATATCCTGAGGTCCTCTCTGACATCATCAGACCACCTAAATTTTGGTCTGCCTCCTACTCTTTTAGTATAGTTCTTCTCATACAAGATTTTTCTGTGGCATTCTGTTAGCATCCATTCTTTCTACATGTCCCAGCCAGTATTTTTCTTGCCTTTATAAATCTAACTGTATCTTCTTTCTTCAATATCTCATCTATTTATTGTTTCAAATTCACTACTGTTCTCTTGTTTTATTGGCCCATATATTATCGTAATAATTTTTCTTTGAAATGTTCTTAAATTATTTTTTCGTCTTTGTTTAATACTCACGTCTCACTACATTGTTTTATGTAAATTATACTGATTTGGAATTAAAATGCCACTCTAGCAGTTACTGGTGGAAAGCGAACTAACATCAAATGTACTGGTTGAGATTCTTACAGCAGTGCCATTCGGGATGTGGTGCCATTGTAGTCCAGTAGAAGTTCACAGGTATTTCAGAAAAAGTTTTTGCTTGCTTAACATATCAACCTTGATGAAACGTCTGTGAACTTGTATTCAGTTAGACAGCAGAATCACACCCCAGAAGATAGTATCCCACGTCATAGTTACTGCTGTGAGACACACAATAACAATTCTGACTGAGCCCAACATATGATGTCCGAGTCTCTCCTTGCATGCCGTTTCTAAATAAAGCAATGATGAGAACTGTAGAATGATGTCTGCAAGTACCAGTGAAATAGCACATTCCGCGTCCATTTTGATTTTGGCCAAGTGTTGGTTGTGTTGTTGTGTGTGTATATACAGTTTAAGAATCCTGTTTGAAATTGAAGGCTTTCTGTTTCTGTTATGTATGTAAATCTAATAGAAGTTTTTTCTAAATATGGATGCTGTGACTTAGGAGCAATAGCCAGCAGCAAGTTGGTGATTACAGCACAATGATGCTTAGCTGGTCACAGTTCTGTAAGGAACCACTGCCAGAACGCAACTTCACCTTCTGGGAGTGGTTTTATGCAGTCATGAAGCTAACACGTGAACATCTTAGAGGCCCTTGGATTGATGGGTGAGTTGGCAGTATTAGGATTATAAGTGTTTCATTAAATGGATCTAGTAGTAGTAACAACAACAGCAGCAGCAGATCATGTGTAGTGATAATGCAGGTTGTGTACATTGTGTTCAGGATTTCATTTAGTGGCATTCTTTCATCTTCTTAAATCGTTGGAGTTTGTTTGAACTGCTGATCATCTGAGAACTGGGCAATGATAGTAAAGTTAGTGCCAGCGTTAGCGGATAGAGGGTGTTGTGCGGTCAGCACAACGAATCCCCACAGCCGTTAATTTAGGTTTTCTAGACCGGAGCTGCTATTTCCTTGAAATAGCTCCTCAGTTATCCTCACGAGGCTGAGTGGACCTCGTTCCAGACCCATTACTTGTCAGAAAATCTGGTAGCGCCTGGAATCGAACCCGGACCCCTGGATCTATAGCCAGGAACGCTGACCACTAGACCACAGAGGCGGTCTGGTAAAGGCCTGCGCTCATACTTTTTTCTTTTCCTTTAAATGCTTCGCACTCTATGTTGAGTGTAGGAGGAACCACAAATCAGTACAGTTTAATCGTCCATTTCTGTCTGTCATTTTGCACTAACTTGCTTACACCTGAAGAATCTGGATGTGTTAAACATAACCTCAAAATTCCATACTGTCGTCATATTTGTAAGTACAGAAGGTAGTAACGGTAAACTTGCCCCTGTGGTTAATTAAGTACCACGCCAAGTAGACGTGCGTGATATAACCCAACACTTTTGTTAACACTAGGTGAGTGGTCAACTACTACTTGATAGTCTGTGCCCCACTTGAAAGTGGAACCAGCCAAAGTACCTGTCTGTTACCAATATAACTTCAGGTCGAGTTTACACTGTGTTCTTTATAACAATTGGCTTGTGTCTTACTTGTTTATAGTGCAATCATGGGGTTTGTACGGAAGAAACAAGCAGAGGAGCTGCTATCTACATGTGCCAATGGAACGTTCCTCCTCCGATTCTCTGATTCAGAGCTTGGTGGTGTCACAATTGCATGGGTTGGAGGTATGAACGGTAATTTTATGTTTTATGCATCAGTGGAATGGAGTAAACTTGTTGGGTTTGGAGTTGTCACAGCATTGACTATGAAGAATGTGATGTTATGGGTTGTAACACTCTGTAGTTTTGAGACAGCCAATTTTTTTGGAGGGTATATCACCTTCACGTTCAGGGTCAAAGAGTAAGCAAAGCAAAGTGCAAACAACCAGCTGGGCTCGGCCTGCCGCCTGCTTCTCGTGGTTTCTTGCTTGGTTTACTCGTTGGTCCTAAAGATATACGCATTACAAAAGGCCATATTGTTGGAGTACGCACATTTTCCAAATACTTTCTTTGCTGTGGGTAGAGTAGGAGTTAACCTTTAGCAGTGATAATAGTATTAGTGAGAATGTTTTATTTAGCAGCAAAAGGATATTTAGAAAGCATGTAATGATAAGCGAGGACAGTTTGTGTTGAAGAAATGGTGTTAATTAGCTTCTGATCAGGCAAAGCGTATCAAGATCCACTGGATATTCCTCTTGACGCCAGTCGTTAAATCAGTGAAGCATGTATATTAGTTTAGGATAGGGATGTCAAACGATTTCACTTGTACCAACTTTGGCATTGATTGAAATATTGGTTGGTGCCAGTGATAACAGGTTTTGTTTATATTTATTTCTGGGGTAACTTGATAATTCACTAGTTGAAGCCATAGTTATTTTTCGTAAGATATATTTTTACTGTTTCCTTATATCCACTCTACCATGAGTTATGTTGCCCAGAGAAAAATAGCTCCATGTAACACAGCATTGGGCTGTCTTGTTGTTTTGAACTGTGAACAAATAAAATTAGATATAAGAAGCCATTTGATATATGATATGAGTGCAGTGTGTCACTTTCATGGTGACTGCAAGAATTTGAAAACTATGTAAAAATGTGCAGCAACATATATTTCACAAAATATTGCAAGTGATACCAGAGTAGCAAGAATGGCAGGAACAAGTTATTGGTAAGGAGTATTTTATGTAAATCTGTTACAAGGCAGTGAAAAGTGTTAATTCCCATTGTGAAAAGTTCTTGTAAGATGGGAATTACAAGCAGTAGACCCTCTAGATTATGGTGGAGTGTAATTTCCTTTAATTCTTGTTCTTGTTGAACAGATCAAACTGAAGTGTTCATGCTGCAACCCTTTACGAGTAAGGATTTTGCCATTCGTAGCCTGGCGGATCGGATCTCAGACTTGCAACACCTTGCAGCCCTGTTTCCTGATATTCCTAAGGAGCAGGCATTTGGAAAATACTATACACCTTTCACAGGTATGTTTGAAGAATGGTGAATGTAGTTGTTGAATGTGTACATTGGAGAAGCAGAGAAGATTTTCTTTTTGATTGTTGTTCATTGAAGCCATAGAAGAGAAAGACGGAAGATTTCAATTTACTATTGTGAAGCCAGCTGTATGGCGGGTTGTTGAGAAGAACATTATTCAGGTGTATAAGGTTGTATTTGGTGTGAGGGAGAAGACTCCTAGATAGGTGTGACTGAGGGACTGTAGTAACAGGGTTTGAGGTTCTTGTGCTGGTGACTGAAGAGTACTGTTTTCTGTGATGTGATGTAGTCTGCTGGAAGTTTACTGACATGGCTGAGCAAGTAGTAGACACTGTAGAGGCGTGAAGCTGACCAATCACCTCTGTCCAGTACTGAGGTCAAGAATGGTGGAACTATTCATCGACTCTCCCATACGTCTTCTTGACACAGTGCTTAGTTAGTTATTTAGAGAGGGTGGGTTTCCCCATGCATCGCGACCAGTTTGATCTATTGTGCTTCCCTCTATGATATTCTACCAGTCTCTCTACCCTACCGATAAATGGTGCGTACCATCAGTCCCGCCGAGCAAGCAAGTTCGGCCACTTGCTTAGCGGTGTCTGTAATGCTTCCCCCATCTATCAGAGGCCTTAGAGGCTATTGTTGGGCAGGAAACGTCCTGGAATTTGGCTCAGTGATCCCCTTTGGGGATATGAGGTTCTTTTACGTGCCATAAAGTTACGACACGGGACACACAGCTTAAAGTCCCTCGCAGAGGACTTGTTCCCTGAATTTTTCCGCCCTTAAAAATTCGACAACCTCCACCGGGTATTTGAACCCGCGTACCACGAGTCATGAGGTGGGAACGTTACCTCTAGACTACGGAGGCCGCTTGACACAGTGCTTAATTGTGAAAGCACAGGGACAACTTTACCTTACCTTACAGTCACTACATAACATGCCAAGTGTGACCAGTATCTGTTTTGTTACTAATTTGCATGAAAGACCACCATGTCCTGTCCATACCTCAGAAATTTTATACACCATGGTTATATTGCCATTATTTCAGTAATCCTGTTGTCAAACTATTATGTAGTTGTATATCCCCCCCCTCCATGTAGTTTCTGGTGTAGTGCAATGTTTTTCAACCTCCAGGCCCTTACATCAATTATACTGGCTTGTCTTATAGAAAAAGGAATTTACCGGGCCGCGGTCTGACAAAGTTTGAGAACCACTGGTGTAGTGAAATGACATTTCTTACAGATGTACATATTGGCAGAAGATATAAATTATGAAACTGAATTTCTTTGCAGAAAACCAACCTACAACAAGCAATGGCTATGTAAAGCCACTGCTTGTGACACACGTTCCTGGTTGGGGTGGACCTGCAGCTTCTTTGGGGGGTGGAAGCTATCCCCCAACTCCACAGCACATGTATCAACCCCAGTCTCCAGATCCCAGTGTGACACGAGATACTCCCTCTGTTGCCAGTGCTGTCAGTGATTCTGTCAGTAGGTGAGTAATCATTTTGCTTATTCCAAACATAGTTTCAAGGTCCTTTCCAAGCTTTTGTTTGGTTAGGTTACATATTGGAGTGGTGCATGTAATTGAGAGTGACTGAGTGTTACAGTCAGGGCATTAGTGCTCCCCCTCATCCAAGTCATGGGTTTAAATCTTAGCATGGAGACTGACTGTCCTACTGGGTTTCTCATGATTATCCTCAGCCCTTCCGCATGAATGCCGGGAGAGTACCTTGAATTAGGCCATAGCAGTTTTCTTTTCCCCCCACATCTGTTCATTATTCATAATTCATCTTGTCATTCAACACTATAGTATGAGCTTCAAGTAGGGTCATTAAGTAAATCATATATGAATAACATAGATAGTAACTGGGTTTGAGGTTTGAATGCAGAGGACTGAGCAGCGTTACTTCATTGCAGTACAACTGTTTTGTTATGGTTAGATCCTGTGAACAGATCCCAGGCCTGGAAACCTGACGGCCGATCAAGACGATTCACACAGTGGCAATAATAGTGCTCTATGTCAAAGGGCAAAGATCTTACACTGACCTAAGCCTGTAATCATTTTCTGGCCAGCTTGAATGTATATAACAAAGTACAAATCATGTTAACAGCATGCAGAAGAGGTGTGTGAGAAGTGACAGTTGAAACCATGATGTAATTTCATTTATTGGAATTAATCCTTGTTACATGCTGTAGTTGATGATGTGAATCTACTGAGTGATAATGTAGATACCATAAAAAAACACAAACCTAATTGACCCAAGTAAGGGGGTTGTTCTCGAAGTAAACACAGAGAAAACAAATATATGTTGCCGTCTCGTCACCAAAATGCAGGACAAAATCATGGCCGATAGAAAACATGTTTTGAAAATGTTGCACAGTTCGGATATATGATAACAGTGATAACAAATCAAAACCTGATTGAGGAGGAAATTAAGAGGAGGTTGAACTCTGGTAATGCTTGCTACCATTCAGTCCAAAACCTTTTGTCTTCTCATCTGCTGTCCAAAAACATAAAAATTAGAATACACAAAAGTATAATTTTGCTGGTGGTTCTGTATGGGTGTGAAACTTGGTCTCTGACATTGAGGGAGGAACATAGACTGAGGGTGTTTGAGAACAGGGTGTTGAGAATATTTGGACCAAAGAAAGATGAAGTGACAGGTTGGAGAAAACTGCATAATGAGGAGCTTCATAACTTTTACTCTTTTCCAAGTATAAGTAGATTGATCAAGTCAATGAGGATGAGGTGGGCAGGGCATGTAGCACAAATGGGGGGAAGAGGAATGCATGTAGGATATTGGTGGGAAAGCCAGAAGGAAAGAGACCAGTGGGAAGACCAAGGCATAGGTGAGTGGACAATATTAAAATGGATCTTAGAGAAATAGGATGGAATGGTATGGATTGAATAGATCTGGCTCAGGATAGGGACCAGTGGGGGATTAATGTGAACACGGTAATGAACCTTTGGATGCCATAAAATGCCGTGAAATTCTTGAGTAGCTGTAGATTTGGCTTCTCAAGAAGGGCTCAGCTCCATAAGTAAGTACATACTGTAGTTGTTCAAAAGTAGTGAAGGGACTCAGTTACTTATGAGGGTTACAACTGTGTCGTATTCTGAGCTGAAGGTCTTGAGCCCTTGACCAGGCAGCTGGAATACTGTCCTACAGATGAGCCGAGCAGATGCTGATCTGCTCAGGTTGCTGTGGAGCGCTGGGTAAGGCGTTGCTTAAGAATGAGTTAGCTCAAAGAACAATCCTCGGTGTTTGGTGGATAAAGACTATTTATTTAAAGAACCATCTCTTTTGTCGAGACTTGAAACACCCAAGGCGAGCGATCTGTATAGCAGCTTTACTTCTCTGGATAAGTGTAAAGATGAAGAGTCCCCCTTCCACTTAATTTGTGAGAATATATATAGGCTTCTTCATTGAAGGCTCCCCCCCCCCTGAAATGACTTAGATAGCGTCCTTATGTGTTCTTTGTCTTGGCATTACACATCTGTGATCCAGTACCAGTAACACCTGTATAAACTAAGCTAGATTAAGCGTCATCTCTGGTGTGTGTCACTCACTCCCTATTAGGGTTATTATTATTATTATTATTATTATTATTATTAATAATATTGGAGGGGGTGGGTTTCCCCATGCACCGCTACTAATAGTCTATTGTACGTCCTCCTTTGATATTCTACCAGTTGCCATACCCTACCGTACTGGTGCGTGCTATCAGCCCTGTTCAGCCAGTGAGGTCGGCCCTCGGTACCTGAAACTTCCCCCATCTACCAGAGGCATTGGAAACTACTTGGGTGGGAAACCTTTTGCCTAATTTTGCTCAGAGGTCTCCTAGAGACATGAGGATCTTTTATGTGCTGTAAATCTACGACATGGCACCCACAGCTTAAAGTCCCTCCCAGAGAACTTGTTCCCTGAATTTTTTCACCCTGAAAAATTCCACGACCGCCGGGTTTGAACCCGTCTATCTTGAGTCATGAGGTGGGAATGTTACCCCTAGACTACGGAGGGCGCTTAGGGTCATCATACATACACAGCTTCTCTTGGCTCCCCCTCGGATAAACACATAAATATCCTTAACTAATTACTCTGACAGTGGGTTGGATTTTTAATATGTGGCTTGCAACCCATGGATACAACTGCTTCCTTCTTCATAATTCACAGTCTATTGAAGATTGTGATCAGCTGTGTAAGACTGTATAGTTGGGTAATGGGTATCTTGTTTTTGGTGAAGCGGTTGTAGTTCCTATCCTTTTCCTTTCCTCTACCTTTGTTTTTCTGGATTTCTCACTCTAATGCCATGAAGAAGGAGGCAGAAGACTTCTCTGAAGCATTGGTACCTATCGGGCAAACTACATGACATCATATTCCAGGAAGCCTTAATGCTGTTATATAATTGAGGATCATTCAGTCTTGAGTTTCATATAAAATAGGAGCTATGTTAGACTAATGCATGTGAAAATGAACTCCAGTTTTTGGCGTAGAAGGCCAGTGCAACATTTCATTTAGATCCATATGATAATTTTGGAAGTGGAATGCACAGGCAGTTGAATGGGTGGAGAGAGAGGCATGCCCTTCCTATTGTGTTTTCATTTAATACACTTTGTCAAAAGATATATAAAAGCTTCAAAAGGCATAACTATTGCACTAATTTCTTTTAGAATCCCACATGAAAACCAGTAATGGTGGGCATTAAAACTTCTTCACAAGGCTTGCAGTGAAAGGAATATAGAGGACACAACTAGCATGTAACCCTTGAATTATTGTTGGCATTTTGAGAAAAGCAATTTCTTGGTGCCTTCTTTCAGTTAACCTCATTCACGCACCGCTTGAAGATGTAACTTGTGGCTTGAAAATGTGTTACAGTAAAACAGTTGTTTTCACGTCAGTTACAGATATATACAGGGTGTCCCAGGAGGAAAGGACCAAACTTCGGGAGGGTGTTCCTTATGTTAAAGTATGCCGATATAACCCAAAACACCTATGTCCAACGTTGAACGGTTACGGAGATAATGGCCAGAGAAGTGTCAAACTTTGACCGGCGTTGCACACTTGTTGATTACAAAATACATATTAAAACTGGCAGGAATATGTGGATTCTGTAATGTTAATAATGTATGTAACATCAAACTAACTTGTGAATAACATGAAGCCATAAAATTGAAGTACAAAATACTCGCTCGCCATGTCATAATTGTCCTTAGGGTTTCCAAGCACTATACATGACACATGAATGGCAAGCGCTGATGTAACGTGCTGACTGCGCGTTCTGATAAAGCCAACTACATAAGCACGGCTAGGGTGAATCACGGCACTCAAGGACAAACATAGATAAGGCCTCTCAGCTGAGAGGTACAGTGCGTGGACCTGCCAGAAGACCACACTTTTCTTGGGCCATTATCTCCGTAACCGTTCAACTTTGGACATAGGTGTTTTGGGTTATATTGGCATACTTTAACATAAGGAACACCCTCCCGAAGTTTGGTCCATTCCTCCTGGGACACTCTGTATATATAGAATTAATGAATTTTACACACACCTCCCAGATTTTTCTTTGAGTATGTTCTGTGGTGTCAGAGGGAATTGATATTTTTAAGAAACACTGAGGTAAGTATGATTATGTGTGAAGTGGGAGGAATGGAGTTAAAAGTAGCTGTGAACTGTTTCAAGGTACTATCCTGGAATTTGCTTGGAAGACCAGAAATACTTTCAGGATATCCATTGCACTAGCCAAGATTTGAAATGTTTAACTACCAGATACAAGTCAGAACCATTGTACTGAAAAGAAAAGACCCTTGCCCAAATCCCTGTAGTTCCTTGTGACTCAGAAATGTGATTTCAGAAGCACCTGGACTCAGATCCAGGTCAGGTGGTGAAATATTGAAAGGAATGAATGTAGCAGTGTTGAAATGCAGTTCAAGATTGTACCACCTCTGATATTCATACAGTTGTTTACATTTAAGTGAAAACATGCACGTAGGTTGTTAACTTGTAGGGCATTCGCAAGTTGTTTAAATAAGAAAACAACATTTAGTGATTGTGAACAAACTGATACTTTTTTGATTATGTTTTAAATACTCTTTCTTCTGTTGTGCTCTTTCCATCTGTTGCTCAATTTATCCCTATGCTACCCCAGAATGGAGAGAGGTTTAGTTATTTTGATGTTACGCATTTATATATACGCTTGGTCGTCGACTTACGACCGACTTCTGTTATGACTGACAGGTCATAAGTTGATCTGGTCCTATGTCGACCATATATTTATTAACAGTATTTTTAACTTTTATAATATTTTTATCATCTTTATAATTTATTTTTAAAACTTACGTTTTAATAATCTCTTATTTATTTTCATTTTTTTGTGGTCATAAGTGCAGCTGGGCATAAGTTGCATAGGTCGTAAGTCGATGACCAAGTGTATTTATTTGTCACATTGATGTTTGACATGGTTTAACATTAAGGCCCTAGGATACTTACATGAATAGATTTTTGTATGTTAGTAATTTAGAAATGGTTACAGTGGAAAGTTGTGTCAGAAATAGCACTTCATGAGTCAGAGAGACCATTTTCTCAGACTGTGTAGCGTTCTTTTTTTAACCCTATCAGTAAAGGTTGGGTGTACTTGGGTTTATAATCATAGCATTAGATTTTTGTGGGTTCCAAATAGCCGTAAATTACTTTGTACTTCTAATGCTTGCTAAGACCATGGCATTTAACAGGTGATCAAATACAGTTGTAATTGTTTTGAACATTTTTCCATAGATTTCTGAATGACTCAATTATTTTGTTGTCTGTAGTATGTGAGAAGAGTAATTTAAATACTTCGCTTAGTGTGTTCTATTGTATTTTTTACATACAGCTAGGCTCCCATAAAGGGATCTGTAAAAGATAAAGCCCATATGATTAATTAATTATTTCACCATGAAGGTGGTGGGTGAGTGGAGGTATGGCTCCGTGTATTCTTACCTGTGACACTAGATGGGGCTGAGTGATCAACTTCATGTCTCAGCTGCTTTACCTTAGGGGAAGTAGCTTCTGGTATCTATTGGATAGGAGAGGCTGGGTAGGCCCTATAGCCAGTCTGGGTGCTGTGCTCTTGTCCCTAGCAGGAATCAAACCACAATCCCCTCAGTCCAGGCTTCTGGCTTACTAAAAAGTGTTCAGTCAGTGTGAACAATTATTTAATTGGGTTCAGGAAAATGAAAATATGGTAAGTATAAGAAGAAATATAAACGTAGTTGGATGTGTGAACATAATTACATATGTCTTTCCATTTTTGGGCACAGTTTAGGAACTGTTATGGAATTGTAAAAGCAAGGTTCCAAAACTTTTACAAATGATCCAACTACTGCAACCATGACAGCCGAGTGCAGGGTATCAAGTGAAGACACTGTATCAGAAAACCAGCAGAATATTTTAACACTTCATCAGGAGTTCAGTTTAATTTCCTGAGCGGAAGAAAGACTACACAATATACTGACTTCAGTTACAGTGAATATGTTATGTGTGAATGAAGAGTAATGGATAATGAGAGTATGAAGGTGACTTCTGCGGGTTTAGGCATTTGGTTATCAAATGAACTGGTTGGGTTTGTCCCAAGATTCATGATTGGGTGGCTGCTTACGTGTAATGTGATTCCTAAAGCCATTATTTGTACAGTAATTTTGTAGTTACTGTCGCCAGTTCTCTGTCATTGTCTATATGTATGATCTTCTGTCTGTATCACAGGTCTTCCTCCCATGTTTGAGGCTCCAAGTTGCACATGGCATGTTTCCTCACTGTATCATTAATAATAGATAGATTCAAGCGGTTCTGTCCCTTAGGTTTTAGTGGCCTGTATATAATGTGTTACTTTGGCATCCGTGTTTATCCATGACATGTATTGAAGCTGCAGTATTTTGTCCTACATTGCAGTTACCATCTTCAGGGTAAATAAGGTGGAAGGAGGATATTGCCATATATATATAGGTCTCACATTGGTAATGAGAGTAGTTTGGGGGTTTGGTAAGGACTGCAGTGTGCTTCAAAACCTAGGAACAGCTTTCACAAATGATGCAGCTAAGCCACTGAGGCCAAAAGTTAACAGATGTTAGGGTTTGGCATTACAGTGTGGGTGTTCCTTATGGATCCTTTTGTCAGAATCAGAGAGAGAGAAAGAAAGAGAAAGGCAGAGAAAAGAGTTTGCATATGTGCATTTGCATTTGTGTGCTTGTGTTTGTGTGTGTGTGTGCATGCATGAAAGCAGAGGTGTGTTTCAGTCTGTTTGTGCTGTCTTGCTTGTAGTTTTTAATTGCAGAATGTACATAGTTTTTTCTAACCACAGCAACTTGCCATAGATGGCTTAATGATTTTTAACCTCTTTAACAATAGTAAATACTGTGGTAGGCCTCTCTTTGCTTAATTATTTTCAGTGATCAGATAACATTGTCTGAGGACTCATTCATGTGTACAGATTCAGTGTCCCCCAGTACTGACTTTTAAATATGTTTCTTCAGGGGATTCAGGGATATTTTCACATATAAGAAGTCAAATATGTTTTGTTGATGTCATGATGCATGCAACAGATTTTTGAAAGCAAATGTTTATTACAAATACTTCTACATGCTGACACAAAACAACGCGCGTTTCTGTTCATCTCTTTCATTGTATGGATGTGGCTCCTTCAAGTTGGTATATGTTCCACCATACTCCTGATGTATGTTTGTATGTTTCACATCATAAGTCAGAAGTGATTGCTGCAGGAAATGCAGGTGTCATTTATGCCATAAGAAACAAATCATGAAATTGTGAAGTTTTTAAAATGATTGCAATTCTGCATTGATGTGGTTGAATATGGCATCTTCATTGAGTGGTTTGTTTTTACCTAGTATGAAACTGTAATGTGGTCGTTAGTAGAAGCTGTTGCCCAAGTCCCATTTACAAAAGCAGGAAACTTTAAACAGAACTGGCCAAGCAGCAGGTTCACGCATATCATATGTGGTTATTCAATGCATTAACCTTTAGCATTTGTGATGGTCATTGTCTCAAAAGAAAATTTTGTATGAAGAAAATGTATATAACCTAAACAGTTCATCAGTAGTCATTATAACTGTAAATATATTTAAGGCTTCATGTAAATTATTCTTGTTCTCATGTGATCAAAATTAATTTTCTTTCATAAGAGTAATTATACTCGTAGACACCAAATTCCATGAATATTCATTCATTCCTTCATTCAGAGTTGAATTACTGCATTAGTCCAAAGCTCACATGAAAGAACCAATATATGCATTTGATGACACTCAATTTTTTTCCCCCATAAACTCATTTTAATTTCAGGTAATTTTTAAGCCAAGTTAACTGTTTTCATAACTTTGGAAGATTATTAATGTGGGGAATTACTGTTGGTATAAGCAACGTTGGTTTTATTATGAATTTTAATTATTTAAATCTGTGATGGCATCTATCTTGAAATTTTTCGCACTTGGGACAAACTTACTCAACCTTTTATAAACATTACATTGCTTAGAACTGCAGAAGTTTTAACACCCCAGTCATGTGCTCTGTTCTGAATATGTGGAAATGTTTAAATACAGTCTGTTGGTTTTTGTGCACATGTGATAGATCAGGGATGGCAACATTTTCATTGCCTGGGGCTAGATTCATGTCAAAAGTTCCTTACCAATAAGAAGTGGTACCACTCATTGTCGTTTGTTCTGCTGTTATCCTTGTGACTTTCATGAGATATCTGCTGCTGCACATTTTTGGACAGTTCTCAAACTTTTGAGAGCAACACAAACAACACACATTTTGTTTCTTTCATTCATTCATTCATCAGTAATCTGTCAGATGACAGGTCCACAGTCTCTTCCAAAACAGTTCCTCCACTTAATGCAATCTAGAGCTTTCTCCTTTGAATGAAAATATCCTCTTCTGTCCCCAAGGTCATCCAGCATCTTCTTACGTCTTCTTCCTTGTCTTCTGGTCACTTCTATCCGCCCCTCTATCTTTCCTTCAATAACTTCTTTTAGAAGGAAGTTACTGCGTAAGATATGACCAATCCAACTAGCTTTCCGTTTTCTTATTTCGTGTAGGATATTCCTCTGCTCACTGACTCTAAATAACATTTCTTCATTTCTCACATAATCGGTTCAACTGATCTTCTCCATCCTTCTCCAACACCACATTTTGAAGCTTTCCAGGTGTTTCTGATCTACTGCCCTAAGTGTTCAAGTTTCAGCCCCATACAAAGCCATGCTCCAGATGTAGCATTTCACTAGTTTCTTTCTCAAATTTAAGTCCAATTTGCTGGTAAAAAGATTCTTCTTCTTGCTAAATGCAGCTTTTGCCATGGCAATCCTAGATTTAATTTCACAAGTACACCTTCCATCATCTGTTAACAAGCTACCCAAATATTTAAAACATTTCACATTCTCCAGTTGTTTTTGGTCTATCTTTATTGTGACGGGTTGGTTGTCTCAAAATTTTCATTACTTTCGTTTTTTCCACATTCATTTCCATGCCATAGCACCTTCCAATTTTGATTAGTCTATCTATCATACCCTGTAGCACAGTTTCTTCCTTAGCCATTAACACAATGTCATCTGCATATTTCACAGTTTGAATAATTTGCCCTCCTAATTTGAAGTCTCCAAGCCCATCCAGAGCTTCCTTGGTAAGTCATTCGCTGTACAAGTTGAACAAAATTGGTGATAGACAGCATGCATAAAGAATAAGAAAAGCTGAACTGTTCTGGAAAGAAAATACAGCAATAAATTGGAAACACAAATCTTAGACAGAATTGAAAAGGAATGGAAAGGGTCCTTGTGAGGCTTTTAATTATGTAGCTGCAGATATTAATATGAAAACCTCTAATTATGTCAGCCAAAATCTGATTAAGTGGCAATGGTATGCCATCCCTGTGATAACAGTGTGTCACTGAAAACTAACGCCTGTACAGTGTGCAAGATATGTAAATAAGCCAGGTTCTGAATAATTATTTTCTCTCTAGCTAATCATTGACAACATCCACTTGTTTGCCATGCAGAGACATACACATATATTGACTGTTATAGGTTTAGTTGAATGGTGCAATGTAGTTAGTATACAAACATTGTTTTATTGAACTATAGGCTACATGAAAGCTTTTTCAGTAATGACTAATCATTCCAAGCTTCTTGTTTGCCTAATTGTACCATGACCTACCATTGTGCTGTGATCTTCAAACCTCTTATTCAGTAAATATGAAGTGAATTTCATTCTGGTAAAATGTAAGGTTATTTCAGACCAACTTATATCTTTTCATGTTGAGGATCTTTGTTTTCATAATATTGTTGCTTGTAAACCATTTTCTGTCTGTATGCCATTCCTTTTTCATCTTTCTGTGTTTCTTACTTTCCTCCTGTTCCTATCTTCGTTCTTTCTGTAGTTTTTAAAATGTTTAGAGTGAGTGAGATATTTACCTTCATTATCTCTAATTTCCATTTTATTCATGTATTTGAATTGAAGTTTAATGGAATTTTTGCACATTGTGGCATTTATTAGGTTTTATTGTTTTATAAAATGTATGTTTGAAGTATGTTTCTGTTTGTGAAAATGATTTCATGTAGCCTGGATATAGAAATTCTACTTTCCTAAAAACTATAAATATATATATGTATATTGATGTAGCTGGGAGTACCATTGTTTCTTTACAAAGTTAATTATGAATGGAATTTGGTTAATTTTTTATTGTAAAAATAATGTAAGGCCTTATGGCAGAGTTGGATAAATGCTGATATAACCTGGTTATAACATTCTTTGATGGATTTCATGTTCTTGCAATTTGAAGTACAAGTGCGTTAACGCAGTTATTGGATATACTACAGTGGTGCATAATCTCAGGAAACTCACATGCATTTGTTATATACAATGATATATTGTGGAAATGCTTTTTCCATGCATTTACGTATCTGCTGAGATACACTCTTGTGGCATTGTGTGTTGTAAGAATTAAGGTGATTTCATTAATTTCTGCAGACATGTAGACAGTCGAAGCACAGTTATTTGTTCCTTCCGCTCGGTAGTTCTGTATATATACTTGCACAAACTTAAAATATCAGTGTTGGTTTTGTCTGTGGCATTAATTCTCAACACTTATATGACTTTGCTCTGTTTAGTGAAAGTAATTTTGCCCTTTGTTTTGTCTCAGACTTCCTAATTGCATGTAAAGGAAACCTTTATTGAATTTGTGTTTAAAAATGTTTGAAGATTGGAAATGTGAAAAATGCGCTATTTGTGCTGTGTTATTGGTTATTTTTGCATAATTTCGCATTCATGCTATATATATGCATGTTAGAGAATGGATGTTAATATTAGTCATATGGTGTTTGGTCAGATGCATACATATTATGGCTTATTAATTCAACATACAAAGCTACAAAAAAAATCATTCTTTGATGTGTGTATGAAATATGATCAGAGAAGTACGTTATTCAGACTGTGGTGTTCTAAGTTGTGACTCTATACCCTTTGAGGTGGATTTTGAATGAACATGCTGCCTTGGTTGATGTGCGCAAGATGGGGAATCAGTTTGGTTACACAGACAGGTGGTTGCCCAGACTGCCAACCTTCTTGCATCCTGCATATGTAATCTAATCAGTACTTCATCTTACACATTTCAACTTTGAGGATGGGAAATAAATGTTCTTTCAAATATCAGTATCTGCCTACAAGATTACGCAGTGTAGGAACCCAGAAAACCATAATTTCATCACTGGAAACTTCAGAATTTAAGAAGTACTTTATTTTTTTCCTGTAATGTAGGAAGGCAAGAATGGTATAAAATTCATACTTTAATAGACCAGAATTTGGGGGAGACTTTTTTTTTAATATGACCATAGCTGTATCTATAAAATTAATTTTGTTTTCACCTTGTAGCTCACGAACTTCTAGCTTCAAATCATTACACAAGAATTAATTTGGAGTATTTGTTATCTTATTCAGTCCACTAGCCACTTAACGAAATTTGCCTACTTGTATCTTCATAGTGTTTCCCACAAGTATGTTTTTACTTGTTATGTAGGAACTTGCTCATACCAAGAGATCGAGCATATTTCTGGAGTCTTGATCTCATTAACCCAGACAGAATTATAGTTCATGAACTTAGAATAGGAATATAAATCATAATTGTTACAACTGACAGGTGCAAGGAAGAAAGTATCACAGTGACCAGAAAGTGTTTTCAAAGAGAAAAAGTTACAAAGTTTAAGTTGTTTCCTTCATGCAACACTCAGTTTTAAAAATGCATTACTTAGACCTTATCAGATCATTGTAATGTTTTGGTAGTTGGTAGTACTCTCACATAGCTAGCCACTGGATATTTCGGGCCATTTTTCGTTTTTTTATACTATGATCTTTTTTCGCCCACTATACTCTCTGTTACTTTCAGATCTGTTATCACCATTGCATTAAAAGAAAGTAAAAAGTGTCATGAGGTCTTCTTTCATTGCATGCAAAAACACATAATTACATGATAATGGTGATAACCTTGCTTTATTTCTTCTTATTCCTCCTTTTCTGCTTGTTCTGCAATTTAACGATATTTCTCTTAACTGTAAGAAGTTAATATTGATCTGAAAGCAGAATTTAGATGTGCTTACATTGCAAGTGTCTGTTCTTTATCAGCTACATTGATTGTACATATTCATAGCTCCTACGGAAAATGGAAATTGCCGTATTCTGAAACCAGCTGTTTGACATATTTTTACTGTAATAGTCTTGTGTTCAAATGAATATAAATCAGATAAGTAAAGAGGACCTGGTAGGTTGGCCATAGAAATTCAGTTCAATTAATGACTCAGTGAATACCACTAAATGTAATTAACACAGATCTTGCACTGGAATTAACCTCACCTCTTGCCAAGGAGTCTGTAATTTACGTAGGTTTTCATGTGGAGCAGATTGAAGCTGCTCCTATACTTGCAGTTTCAAGCACAAAAGTACAAGAAATATCAGCTCAGAGATTTGTTTTATATAGTACACTTGGTTATTAATGCTTCAGACACTAAACATAAATCTTTGTGTTGTTTAGAATCTGTCAGTGCTATAAAAGTCAAAATTGTAAAATTTTACAGTACATTTTGATGTTTTTATGAGACAAAAACACAAAGCCATACACATCAAACTTTGCAGTAATGAATAATGCCATTGTATATAACCAATTGTTTCTGGAGTCCCTGCTGTTCTTAACAATAAACATAGGTATTGAAGGCTTTTTTTTTTTTTTCTAAATCCAGTGAATAGTTTCTGCTGCATTTTTACTGTAGCTTTTTGTACTTGGTTGTACAAACACAATTAGTATTGCATAGATATGTTATATAAAGTTGTAAGTGTCCACGTGCTTAATATTGTGAATGTGATGTATTTCTTTATATCACTGGTAAGAAATAGAAGTAAAGTATCGGTCTTCACATTGTACATGGTTACATGTGTATATATGCCTACAATCCTCTAGTGAAGAGAAGGCAAGGCAAATTGTAGAGCAGAACAAGTTTGCCTTTGCCAGTATACTGTTTACAGTGTACCACAATAACAGTAAGAGTGAAAATATTCCCAGTATTTTTGGTTAGCACACATGGGCAATCATATATACTAGCCTCACTATCTCACTGTTGGGAGGATTGTGCATATATCCATTCTAGATGAAAGGATTTTGATGTATCAATGTCACAGTGTGTGTATGTGTATTAAAGCCTGTTTATGCATGATTTACAACTTTCAGAGTCAAAGGCCATTCTATTTCCTAGGTGAACTATAAACTTAATGCATTTTATGGTGTGCAGTAGTTAGTTACGGTTCATTGAAGCATCTTTCCCAAA